CACGCCTTTTGGGAGCATTTTATAGATAGTAGGAGCTTATCCCCACTACCACTCCCGGCGATGACAACCTTGGAACAATGAATTAATAGTACTACACAGCTAATTACAGTATATGATGGCATTTTTGACCATTTAGCACTTGTGGAATAGTTATTTAATCCTGAGTTTTATATCTTTAATACAGAGCTGAAATTAAACCAATATCAGCTATTTCTTTATTATTATTATTATTATTATAATAAGAGTTAGAACAATAAGGGAGAGTGGTAATATAATAAACTCAAAGTTATCACATGCTTAATAAAGATTACTTAGTGAAAATAAGCTTCAAAATTAGGACTCATTAAAATCACCAGTAGATGCTACAAAATGTAGCTTTTAATTTAGCCAAATGAACTGATTTTATAGTTCAAAGCTAGGTTATTAAGCCTGATTAGTACCTGTAATAATTCTTCAGCTAAATGTTTACCAAAACCAATGCTTTCAAAAGAGTACAGTCCAGCTATGTAGATGTCAGAAACAGTATAGATTGTTCCTTATCTATAGGTAAGCTGGTATACTTAAGCTATAATATGGTGCAATTTCAAGATTGTAGAGTTCTCAAAGTATCAGGCATAATGAAACTTATCAAGATTTTCATATAAATTTATTTGACATTAAGAAACATAAGAATTTCTCTTAAAATGTCATCATGGAGATCAATATTTTAAGAGAATTTGTTTTTATAAAAATATACATCAAGTAATATTTGGAACTCTTCAGATCAGGGTAATGATACTCATTTCACTTGGTTAAAAGTACTAGTGAACCAATAACAATTAAAGCATGCTTTAATTGAGCTTGACTGCAGAAATATAAGAACACAACTGCTTGGTTTATTATTTTTGTTGTAGTCATGCACGAAAAGTGACATTAAAGTAATTCAAAAATACAAAACAATTTATTTATTATCTTTCAATAAGAATAAGCAAACAATGATAAATCAAAGTCTAAAAATCTGCAGGGAACTGAAGCATTATGCTTACCTTTACATTCTTTAGTGAAAGGATATTGAAGATCTATTCACTTCCATAATAGCATGGGTAGATCTTTCCATTGGAAACATGATGAACTATAGATCCTGAAGAAGGCATGAGAGCATGACGATACCTTTTAAAATATTCACAATTCACAGGCAGGGATTATAAAGATGTGGTGAAGCAACTGTTAGAATGTATGAAAAGATAAAGATAAAAATGAAAAATATTTTAGTTTACTGTAAAATATTTATTAATGTACAATAGATAGAAAAATATAAAAGAAAAACATTACTATAAGTTTATCTACAAACTGTATTGGTTGGGTCTTTGGTGTGTATTAATCTTGTCTTATCAATTAGTGATAATTATTAGGTTAACTCTTTAGCTTAATTAATGGTTTATTTGCCTAGTATGCAAAATATCCCAGGTTTGATCCTGAGCCCAGGAGTTGCTAAAAAAAACTGGCCCAACTATTAATTGTCCTGTGATGACCCTTAGATAAATGTTGTAGTTTGAGTTAAAAACTGGGTTATCTATTAACTACTTGGAATTAACCCTTTAGTTCAGTTGGTAGAGCACTCAACTAGCATGCAGTAGATGTCCAGGTGGATTATAGCTAGTGAGTTACAGTACTACTGTATGTTTTTATGATGAATACTTTATTGAATTTCCAATATACTAGCATTTTTCTATATATATTCATGGAATATTCTAATCTATTGTAACTTATAAAACAAGAAGACTTGATATTCTAATGTTATTAAAATGCATGGGCTAGCTCCTGGGAAAATTGTTACAAGTCTTGCTAATGTTAAAAGGGGCCTTTAAGCTTCCAACCGTGATATGTAAATTTATTACATAATCAATTCTCAATATTATACACATCATATGGGGTTGTACAAATGCTGATTCAAAGGGTACTTAGCATCAAGGATAATAAATCAATTTCATCCCTTGGTTCAAACAAATGTTAGAGGACCTGCAATGTAGTACCTGTCACAACTGTTCATATTCTCGAGCACTTTTCTCCACATGTACTTGTAAAGTGATATGCACTTAGAAGTTGTGCTTTAACAACCTTGTTCTTAGATTCAATTAACTCCTGATGAATCATGCAGTGTCTATTCTGATACAGTCACCAGTTTCACTCTATTGAAACAAGATTGTACAGCCTTTGTGCCATTAATACAGCAAGCACAGTTAGTGGATTCCTTTTGTATAAATAAGTTTAACTAGCTGAAATATTTTTACTCCTACTGTGTATTTCAGCAACAGTTTGTTGAACAAAAAAATCTTAACTTGCTTTCTATTCCCATATGTAACAAACATAAAAGACAAAGAGATTTCACCCAAACATGTTTTGGTAAGCTCTCCATACCAAGTGTTGTAACAGGTAAAAACATAGAATTACTTAAAGTGATGCAATATTTGGACCTCAACTGTATAAATGTGATGAAAAACAAGCCAGTAATCTGAAGGTTAACCATATCTCAGAGAATTGGACATTTTTTCAACATGATGGTTCACTGCATTGTTTTAAAGTATAGTGCTAATAATATGACTGGCAGAAATTTTGTCAATCATAATTTCAAACACCTTTTCCACTGCTGAAAAAATATGGGAATCTGTAATTGTGTGACTTTCTTGACCTTGACAATTCACAACAAGATGGCATATGGTTACCTCCAATGCTTTGACTGTTATAGTTGCATGTTTACATCTGACAGATTTTTCTGCTGAAATTCTTGAAGTTTTCTTTCAAAAACCTCCCCAGGCTTTTCTACATATTTAAGATATTTTATTAGCTTTAGTTTAAGGCTAATAATAGCTACAATTTTACTGTATAACATATGCTGGATTTTGGTTTCTCTTCCATGCCAAAACACATAAATCTACAAACCAAATGCAAACTATAATATATTTGGTTTTTCTGTTTCAAGCCCATCTTATGCATTCTATTCTACTTCATAAACTGTGTCTTGTTCAACACCCCTCTTATCACAATGAATAACAAAATATTCCATCAAACGAATCAGGTAATTAAACTACATGACTGTATTATTAACTGCATTTTTTATTTATATAAAATTTGCTACTGTTATAATGTTACAATACCAGACACTTCTATTTTCTGGTATTTCTCAAAATAACTGCCAATTGATCATTAAAATGGAAAAGATGAGTTGTCTTTGCAGACAACAGTTATATTACACTTACCAATAAACTGTTTTTCCATAAAACAAGAACATTACATTTACCGGTAAACCAGGGTGTGGAAAAATAATCTTGAGACAAATAGTAGCCTACTATTTGTTTTACTGCTAGATCACTGACAAAGTACTTATTTTATTTTTACAGTACATATGTTAATTAAATGTTATCCTGTGCTACCCCTGTTCTAGCATCTGTAGGTATTATCCATCTACCTGAAATGAATAAAGTATTCCTATGATAAACAAGCTTCTACTTCTTAAAAGCTTGTTTTTTTCAAGAAAATTTACTCCGAACTTTTTGTCTGATGCGGATTAGTCGAGGCAGGTGATATGACCAAGAAGTTAGATCAGAATATCAGAAAATAACAACTTATACTTGGGAAAACTGGCTGATAAATAAAGATGGGCAGTAAGTAAAATTTGATAACTGATTAATCACTGGGCTCATTAATTGATACATTAAACTAACTGATTTTTCTAAGGTGAGACTTGCGCAGTCAGAATAATAGAAAAGATCAATAATCATAAAAACTAATTTCAATTAGTTCATTAATTTCCTGATTAATCCAAACGACCTTAATTTAATTCAAAATAATAAGAAAACAGTAATAATCAGAAATACTAATATTGATTATTTGATTCTTTTTGTGACATTAATCAATTTAATCATAATATTTCAATTAAATGAGTATTTTGAGTGACACTACGTCATGTACTCAATGCTCATAGGTATTCAATCACCAGATATCAGATAAAAAAAACAACAGCAATCATTATATCTACAAATGAATTGAATGAATGACAGTAAACTTAGAAACACTGATATATATATGACCTGAACAAACAGCTTAAAAGTCAGTATTAAATCTTACATAAGGGTACTGTACTATACACAAAATAGTCAAAGAGGAAACAGCAAATTCAAAAAACATCAGTTAGATGACTAAATCCCCAATTTTAATCCAAACTAAGATATATCTATGAATACTTTAGTATGTGATAAAAAAATACTGAAAAATGGAGCCAAAGGAAACTGACATTACTTGACAAATCAACCATTGAAAGTTTTTTTCAGGCATAATATCATTAATAAATTCTTTGAAATGCTCCTATGTTGTACATTTCACTCATTCAATGACTGCTGAACATTACTTGAATTACTTCAGCACAAAGGAATATAAAGTGCTAGTAAACAGTTACATTGTCAGCCAGTATGACAGGAGACTTAGAAGATTATAGAAGATCAAAAAAATTGGTGAAACAGGAAATTAGGACATCAAAAAGTATGTATGAGAAAAAGTTGGCTGAAAATGTAAAATTAACAGCAAGGATTTCTTTAAATACATTAAG